GATAGCATTCAACAATTTTATTGGAATAACCACAGCTTCCTTAATAATCACTGAAACATGCGAGGTATTATGGAAAGTGCTTTCCCCCATGGTATTGCCATCACCAACTGAAAATACTTTTCGTAAAGCTAGTGATGGGTTTTTCTTCAGGTGGAATATGCCAAACTGTATTGGGGCCATTGATGGAAAGCTAGTGAATATTCAATCGCCGAATTACTCTGGGAGTGACTACTTTTCATACAAGAAGTCTTTCAGGTAAAATTTGGTCACTAGACTAGTATAATCAATAATACATATTCAAAATATTTCAGCATGATCTTAATGGCTGTTTGTGACAGCTATTACATATTTCAATGGGTGGATGTGAGAACACCTGGTTCGAACAATGATGCCTCAGTATTCAGAGAATCAATGTTTGGCCAGTTGTTGCTACAGAAAAAACTGCCGATTCCCCCCCAAAAAAATCTGCCGGGTACAGATCTCAGTTTGCCTCACTTCCTTGTAGCAGATCAGGCGTTTCCACTTCAGGAAAATATTATAAGACCCTATCCTGGAAACTATTTAGGGGAGGGTAAGAACATTTTCAATTACAGACTATCCAGAGCCCGTAGGACAATTGAAAATACATTTGGCATCTTTGGAGGCGCCTGAGGAGCCCTATAATTGCAAGGCCTGAAACGTGTGAGAAAATTATATTGGCCACCATTGTTCTCCATAATCTGCTGCAGAAAGAAGAAGAAGATTTGCCTATTGAAGAGAGGAGATATTGCCCTACAGGATTTGTTGATGCCCTTGATAAAGATGGTAATATTGTCACGAAAGGATATTTTCCAAATTATTCTCAAATATTACTACTACTATTATTATTATTTCACTGTTCTAATTTATCAAGTTTGTTATATTTCTCAGCAATTCAACTGTCCTCATTCGTGACAAAACATTTTTCAATGAAATAAACATTTGAGGTGATCGATCATAATCCACGTACCAAGAGGGACTTGACTTTTGGTCCGAATAGCGGACGGTTGCTTGTGGCAACGGGGATGTCCCAATTGGGACATCCCCAAGTTTTGTGTTAGATTATTGTAAGTACCATTTTTATTATTCATTAAATCTCCAACCTAATGCCTCTTCAAGGAATGTCAAAATTGTAGTTTATCATTAATAAATCCATATTTGTTTTCGTTGTTCAAACTTTAGTCCTTTTTATTGAGTATCAACCCTCAGAAAATCCCAACTAGCAAAGGTAATAAGTCGCATTCGTGACATATGGTGGAGGCGCCGTGTTTCGTTCCCGAGGTTGGTTCTTCATAACCAGCCTCAACATTTATTTTTATTCTTTGTCTTTAGTTTTTTTTTTAATAAATGATGTATATATATCTTGTGAAGGGTCAAATTGGGATTCTCGTATGAGGCACTGGCCAGTAAAAGCTCACATTTCGGCATGCCAAAACCGAAATGCTTCTGCATGGGAGTTTCCCCATGTAAGGCCTTTTCTGGTAGTGCGTTACAGATCGGCATGCTAAAACCGTCTGTACTCATACGGGAGAAAATTTTGAATTCAGGGGTTGTTTTTCAAAATTCGAATTCAATGTATTCTGAAAGGGGGAATATTTGGATTCTTATGTGAGGCACTGGCCAAATTAGCTCACAGTTCAGCATGCTAAAACTGAACTGCTTCTACATAGGAATTTTTCCATGTAAGGCCTTTTTTGGTAGTGCGTTACAGTTCGGCATGCTAAAACCGTCTGTACTCATACAAGAGTAAATTTGGTTTCTGGGGGTAATAAGACGTTTTTCTTAGAATTATAGAGTATAAAAGTACCTCATTCTGACTTGTTAAATATTTTAAGAAATAATCATCAATTCATTGTTTGAAAAAAGAATACGAGTAGCTGCAGTTGGGATTTCTGCTGACGGAGAATTTGCAAAGAAACTTGAAGAGTGCATTACATATAGGTAGCAATAATGATTTTTGAAGTAGGTCAAGTTCAATGAATTTTTCGTTTTTACTTGAATGCATAGTATATAAAAAGTTGATTATGATTTATTTGATGATTAATTTCGGAGACTGAAAATCATTTTGAGATGACAAATAATGCTCATTATTGCTATCTGCAGGTTCGGTATAATGATGTTATATTTTAGAGAGTTTTGGTATATAACATACAGTAGGTACCTTATGATGTACCATGTGAATAAATTTGATATGTGAGAAATTTGATATAATGATTATCCTTGATGGGAAGGATCATGGATTACCTAATAGTATGGTATAGTTTGAAGTGCAAGGCTATATAAGGGTGAATAGTGAAAATCTACAGGATTTTCACGTATCTTCTGTGGATCAGGGATATAGCTATAGAAAATAATGATTGAATATTATGTTTCAGGAATTTCCATTATTGTTGCTCGGCTGAGCTAATGAGCTGCCGTTGAATATTGAGACATTGTGAAAATATGGCCATATAGACGGCGAGTTAAATGAATATGAATGAAAACTTGAATTCGATCCCTGTCAAGTATCTGGATGATGCTGAGTATTGTTGAAAAATGATGTGATATTCATAATTGATTATGGTAAGGTGACGAGATCGTAGTGTCTAAATTGTTCCTAGGTTCTGATGAATTCAAAAAATTTGGAGATTAATATGGGTGTGGTATTTGTGAAGAGGAGTTATTCAGTCGCTTACTTCAGGGCGAATCTGGATATATTCTGTTATTGAAGAGAGTACTTATCAGTGAAATGTAGGTACATGCGGATATAGGTAATAAGTTGATATGATTTTGAAAAAGTAAGAAAGTGTGTTGATCCTAGATGAAAATAATATAATAGTTCTAATATAGGTTTCAATAATCATCCAGGGTGGTTTTGATTGTTATTCTTTATGGGTTATATATATATATATAGAAACTTGAAGTTTTTGAGGAGCTCCAAAAACTTCTGAGTGGTTTAATGAACTTGATTTGCTATATTGTTGTTTCAAAAATCGTAAATTGAAATCAATGGTATAGCATTTCATCAATAATTTGACCATCTCAAATTATTTTAAGTTGAGTATGCCATAAAATGGCATATCAAAATGGGTAAAACTTGGTAGGAATTTTTTTTGTCATTAAATGAAAATGTATACCCATCTGAAAATCATTTAATCAGAATAGAATTTTTCACATCGTTATTCTCATGAACACGATTGCAATCGATGGAATAATGGATGATTTATCGTTGGTTTTATTAGGTACATTTTCGCATTGCACTTTTCAATCTATTAAAATTACAATGTTTGATTATATAATTCATTTTAGGACTACTTATACATCGTGTTGATACTGAAGGCAGGTAGAATGAATAATTATGTAATCAAAGTAGCAGAAACATGATATAGTCCACCAGGCTGTTGGCTCAGATGTATCAATGCTTGTATACATCCCCATCCATATATCAACATAAAAATGTCTAACCATGGAGTTGAGGTTCAAGGAAAAAGTGAGCCCGCATTGATGTTGATGATTTGGAGGAAATGGACGAATTGGAAATCGAAGCACCCAAACCATAATTTTGAAGTGAAGAAGCAAATTATGATGATGATTTGGAGGAAAAGGGTGAAGGCAATGGCCGATGGGAGGATTGGAAATCGAAATACCCAAACCATAACGAACCTCTGTCGAATATCATTGCTGAAGCTGGTTGTAGCCTTGAAATATTTGATGGACTCAAATATGGATTAGGTATGGACAAAATCATGTTGATATCATGGTATTATGGATGAAGAAGCTGATCATCTGAGTATGTAAGCCGAGAAGAAGACCTCAACGTTTGGAGAACTGTTTGTAAACCTGTTTTCAGTAAAGTATTGTAATTTCGTCTCTTGGTATGTGGATGGTATTTTTTCAAAATTCCCAATCACTCGGGGCGAGTGATTTTTGGAGGGGGGAGTAATGTCACGAAAGGATATTCTCCAAATTATTCTCAAATATTACTACTACTATTATTATTATTTCACTGTTCTAATTTATCAAGTTTGTTATATTTCTCAGTAATTCTACTGTCCTCATTCGTGACAAAACATTTTTCAATGAAATAAACATTTGAGGTGATCGATCATAATCCACGTACCAAGAGGGACTTGACTTTTGGTCCGAATAGCGGACGGTTGCTTGTGGCAACGGGGATGTCCCAATTGGGACATCCCCAAGTTTTGTGTTAGATTATTGTAAGTACCATTTTTATTATTCATTAAATCTCCAACCTAATGCCTCTTCAAGGAATGTCAAAATTGTAGTTTATCATTAATAAATCCATATTTGTTTTCGTTGTTCAAACTTTAGTCCTTTTTATTGAGTATCAACCCTCAGAAAATCCCAACTAGCAAAGGTAATAAGTCGCATTCGTGACAATATCAAAGAAGGTGCTTGGAGAACCATGCCTGGAAACCTCAATTCTATTGGTCGAATAGGGGCAAATAATGCTAGAAAATATGTTTTCGGAAATAGAGATCACCTTATGGAGTACTTTTTATCAGATATAGGGGCCTGGTGATTTTTCTATGGAATTCTGATCATTTTTATATATTAATTCATTATCTTCATTTCAAAAGTAATATGAATGAGTCTTTTATTTCTTTTCCATAACCTATTGTTATTTTTTCAGAGATTCAAAAAGTGTTTATATTGAATATTGTCCCATTCAAATATAAAAACTCTCAGTACATTTATATAATATAAAACAAAAGTATATTCAGAACTAGACACTCCCAGATGGAGTTATATAACAGGAAAAAATTCTCCAAAACTCAGAAAATGAAACAGAATAACACTCATTTACACTAATCAGGTCCCATTATGAGAAAATACATATTTCATCAGATTTCAGTTCTCTTTCTCCCTCAGTTTTTTATCCATACATTCATAGAACTGTCTCTTGAGGGAGATCTTTTCAGCTGGTGAGAAAACAGAGAGATCTCTAGACAATGATTTCACGAAGTCCTCATCCTCTCTGTCTAAGTTTTGTTTTTTGCAATGAACTTCTCAAATGAACTTAGGTAACCCCCTAATGTATTGACAATGTCATCTTTATCACTATTATTATCCTTTGTTTTTTTTATGTTTCGAAGCCTTTTTATTTCATTAAAGTTTTCATTTCTATTGAGGATTTGACTTTCCTTGAAATGTTGGGTTGGGTCAATGGGTTTTTCTGTCACTTCGGCAGGAGGCTCTGGTACAATGGATTTGATTCTTTTGGCCGGTGGAATTTTAGCTGGAAGTTTTCGCTTCTCTATGAAGTTTTCATAGAGTGCCTGAGTATCATCTATGGACTCCTCTTTTTCATCCATAGAATTATGAACTTCTTCCTCAGAATCAGTGTCAGTTATGATATTGTGGATACCACTATACTGAGAACTAGATTCAGGAATACTCTGAGGAGCTGAAAAATTAGTTATAGTCCTGAAACAATATTTATATTGACTATGAAAACTCTATATAAAAATACTTACTCTCGTTGAATAATGAAGGGATCTAAAAACTTCATTAGTTCATAATATGGCCAAGTTATTGAGTAGGAGTTTGATCCTGAGGGTCTGTTCCTTGATGATCTTTTCAAGGTGGCATACTCGTTCCTCAAAACAGTCCACCGCTGATCACATTCTATGGCTGAAATTAATAAGGATTATTTTCTGCTGTAGCTACCAAATTGTTTAAAATTGGAATTCAACTTCACTTTTCATGAAAATACTCACGAGTAACTCCCATTATAGTGGCTATCGCTTGCCAAACATTTTCCTTTTTGACTTTGTTGTTGAAATCCATGTTTTTCTTGTCATAGAGTAGTTTAAACTGGGACACCCTCTCTATCAATTCTCCGTCGTCTATTATTAATGTTATTGTTCACTAAATAACTATTTATCTTCTGAAATATTTTTAATCAGGAAAGAAACCATCCCTTTTATAAAATAACATAACCAAAAACAAGAATGAATGATGAATGATCATTTATCACAGAACGCCCAGAACGGTTTCTTTACTCCAAACGTCAAGCACGAAACAATAAAAACACTAATTCTCAATTTTCAGTATATGATGTCTATAAACGCCTCCTTATAGTTGTTAATTGCTAATTGTTAATTCAAGTTCTTAGTTTAGTTGAGTTTATAAATCCACCATAAAGGACATGGCGCCAGCGCTACTCACAGAAATAATAATGCAAAACTGAAGAATACTCCTAAAATAAAAGGAATAATTCCAAATGAAAAACAAAAAAGGCTTGATACATTGGTGAAATCTGCAAAATTAAATAAATGCATATTCCTACATGAACATAATTCACCATTCTTGCTTGCAGACCATCTTCTGAAATTTTGTCCTGCAGTAGAACCAAGGCAACTCATATCACTGAGGAATGTTTAGCAAAACAACATATACAAGAAATATCAGAAATTTTGAAATCCACTAAGTTCTCCCAAATTATTGACGAAACCACAGACATTGCCACTGAAAAATCATTAGCTTTAGTTGTCAGATATTATGATGAGACAAAAATGACAGTACAAGACAGGTTTTTGGATTGGTCAAACTGAAAGATTTTTCGGCAGAAGCCATTTTCAATAAGATTGTGAATTATATCGAAAAACAAAATATTCCAATAAGTAATTTAATTGGATTGGCTGCTGATAATGCATCTGTTATGATGGGGAAAGTAACAGGTGTTCAAGCTCGGTTTAAACAGATACTACCGAATATATTTGTACTAGGCTGCATATGTCACTCCTTTCATCTCTGTGCCTCTGCTGCCACCAAAAAGTAACCAAAAAGTTTGGAAGATTTTATCAGGGATATTCACAATTACTTTGCAAATAGTAGCAAACGAATTGAGAGACTAAATGAATGAATATTTGTTAATATGAAGCCCCACAAACTGCTTCATCCAGCACAGACCAGGTGGCTTTCATTACAGGTGGGACTTTATGTTAATGATTATATTTTTCACCACTTTTTCATCTTCAAGGCAGCTGTTGATAGAGTCCTAGAAAACTGGAATCCACTGATGGTGGTTTTTACTAAAGGAATGTTTTGAGCAAGATTTGAATTCATCCAACAACATTTTGGAAAATCTCAATAACCCGATTTACAAATTGAATTTCAAATTCTTATACTATGTGTTAGATATTGTACATGAATTGAACAACTCATAATTTCAGTCAGAAAAATCTTATATCCATTCAGTTCAGAAGATTCAGGGAGATTTATATAGAACTCTTCTTCGATTGAACATTTAGATAAAACTCCAATTAAAAATATAAATCCATCAAATCCTAGGTCATTTATAGAATTAGATAAAATTTATTTTGGGGCACAGGTTGAGCTGATGATGAACGCCAATTTTGATGTAAATGAGGTGACAGATTTCAGACTAAGATGTCTTGACTTTTACATTGAACTATGTACTCCAGTATTGGAATATGTATCAATATTCGATCCAAGAACAGCTGTGTCTGGAGAAATAGGAAACAAAGTAAAAGATACCACCACATGGCGTCTGCTTGCTGATATTGACCATTTTAAGCAAGTTGATTTGAATTCCTTCAAAGAATTCTGGAAAAATATTTTTTAGGCTGAAAATGGCACTTATGATCCATTATTTCCACATCTTTGTGTTCTGCTGCGAGTCTTTTCTCAATTATCCTTATTAAAATCTAAAACTCGCAACAGGTTAGATGTTGATACGTGTTGCAGTATTTTACATGTCAAAGAATTACTCAACAACGAAACTCGCTTTACATGGACTCCTTCGGAAATAATAGAATGTAAGTTTTTTATTTGTACATAATATTCCAGGGAAATTTCGCAAATATCATGATATCCATATTTTTTCAATAAAATTTCATTTTTAACAACCTATCTATTTTTGAAAAATGTTCTAAGACGTTATTAGGATGTAGAGGACGGTAACAGGAGGACGGGCTAGGGACGTCCTCAGGCTCGCCCTCGACGTCCTGAGGACATTATTGTGAACGCCTCAGAAGGGCCTCTAAAGGTATTTGTGCTATCTGAGATGTAACTCTTTGTGCTGAAGTAATGTACTTATTTTGAGATCAATATCTTATTTAATACGCGAGTAATTAGAAAAAAAAAAACAGTTTTTAATTTCCAACTTTGACACCCTGTATATCGAATATGGAGGGACTCGCTGTCTAACAAATATTTGGAATATGACATCATCAATATAAGGATATCAATATTTGATCTTATTTAACAGTTTTTTGTAATCTTCTCATTGTTGCTCAACTGAAGTTGCTAAAAAATCATCTGGAGGTTTGTTCAGTCCTCCATATGATAAATGCATCACCCAAGATGGTACCACCAAATTACTTTGATTTTTCTCAGGGAAGTTATTTTCAAAGCTGCCTGGATGAGGATGACTATCTTTGAGCTTTTTGGCTATCTAGTATCTACCCAGCCAAGTATTCTAATCCATCTTCTTATAAGTGACTCTCTAAGTTTTCAGTCTCATCACAGCCTCACTTCTACTACTACTACTACTACTACTACTACTACTACTACTACTACTACTACTACTACTACTACTACTACTACTACTATATAAACGTCTGTACAATAAATAGAATTAGACTTGTTAGTTAAATTATTTGATTGTCCTAATATGATCAACGGCAGTCGTTGCAGAGCATGTAAGGGTGTAGGATGATCATTTAAGCAACCTCTAGTTCTCAGCTGTCCAAATAAATTCTCTAAAGAGTCCTGATTCAGTCTATGGGTTGAAATGAAGGATGTTTCGTAGGTCTCATGTAGATCTGTGTATAAATATTCCAAGAACTTAACTGATAGTAGAATACCATTTTGAAATGTTTGAATGTTTCGTTTCCCTTTGAATAAGGTTGTACTCATAAAATTGTACATCTCATCAAGGATCTCATTTTGGCCATCTATGCTCTTGTTTGAATGAATTCAGTACGTCGAACCATTTATTTGTAGTGTTCTTTTTGAATTCCATCTCAACTCAATACGAGATAAATTGAGATGAGATTATCTCATTTGGCAAAGGAATAAAAGGAACGGAAAACTCACTCAAGAGTTCTCTCTCATTGTTCTGTTCTTGTTCTTGTTGTTTACATTTCATGAATTAATAACCTCAAAATGGCGCAGTATGAAGATTTCCAAATTATGGTAGGTACCAATAAAATACCTATTGGCTTTTATTTTGACTTGAATATCCGCTGGAATATAAAAACTATTATCTAATGAATTGTGTATTCTATATAAGGAATCATTCATTGATGAAGATTCAGATGATGAATTTTTTGAAAGCAGTTCCTCTTCCTCTGAAACCTCCTCAGATGACGATATGGTTCTTAAAGAGAGAAGGACTTTTGTGAGAGTTAAAAATTATGCATGTGATATCACAGTATGATGATTTACAGTTTGAAGAAAATTTCAGAGTTCGAAGAAAAACTTTTGGATACTTAGCTGGTGAGCATAGATACAGTTTTGTTAGAATAATTATGTTGAATGTTCAATATTTTTCAGATCTTCTTCGTGAGGCAAACATTTTACCTACCCATACATTTGGAAGAAGAAAGGTTGATTCAGACAAAGCACTTCTAATGACATTGTGGTTTCTGGGAAACACAGAGTCATATAGGCAAATCTCTGAAAGATTTGATGTTACTAGAAGTAGAGCTCACAGCTTGATCAGAACACTCATAATTTTTTTAGCTGAAATAAGTCCAAGATATATTATGTGGCCCACAGCAGGAAGTGCTGTAGAAATAATAAATGGATTTCACAACAGAAAGGGCATCAATGGGGTTCAAGGTGTAATAGAGGGATGTCATATTGAAATCAATAAACCAAAAATTCATCAAGAGGTTATAGTAGTACTCCAATGACAAGATGTTTATTTCCTTTGAAAACTTTTAGGCTTATTGTAATAGAAAAAGCTACCACAGTATTCTGTTGCAAGGTGTGGTAGATCATCAGAAAAGATTTATAGACGTTTTTTGTGAAGAAGCTGGATCTATACATGATATGAGAATGCTAAAACGATCAGCATTGTATGATAAAGCTCAAAGAGGAGAAATACTCTCAGACACATTTTTGCTTGGAGATTCTGCTTACCCATGTTTAAGATGGTTGGTACCTCCCTTCAAGGATAATGGCAATTTAACAGGCAATCACAAAATTTTTAATTATCGCCTTTCTTCAACAAGAGTTATCATTGAAAATGCCTCTGGTCGCCTGAAAGGCAGATTCCGCAGGCTTCGATTCTTCGAAAATATCAATAAAACATTCATAGTTCAAAGTGTTATAGCAGCTTGTGTATTACATAATATATGTATCAACTTTGATGATCTAGATATCCCTTTTGAACCAGATAATGCTGAAAATGAACAACATAATGATGCCCATGAACATTTCGAACAAGTATTTGATCGAAGATAGGAAATTTTTGATCAAATGTTCCATCAATGACAATGATATTGTATTATATTATATGTGTATATAAGGTGGGTATATCAAAATAAAAAAAGGAGTTTTTTGATCATGATTTTATTCCCAGAATATCAAAATACAAATAAAAAAGTAAACTGGGTATACCCCATCTCTTCATGATAATAACAAAAAACTTGATTATTTTATAATCCAACTATACCTATATGGGCCATTCTCCAGAATAGGGGCAATATATCTTTAGGATTGGAAAAAAGGAAGAACTTTCGAAAATGCTTGATTTATTCAAAGAATCACAATAACATAGGGTAACAAGAATTATGCCCGAAGGGCCAAAATTAAAATCATTATTTCCGCATTTATTTAGCAAAAATCAAAAAGTAGAATCCGCGGAGGTGACACCCTAGCCATGGAGTTGATAATTTCACCGGCAACCAATATGTTCCGTGAATAATAACCGAAAAATTCAACTGAAGTATCCTGAAAATGAAAGTTTCAAATTTCTATGAAAAAAACGGTCAATTTCCTTCACCTTCTTGACCAAAACTGAAGAAACTTCCTTGGAATCATCTCCATGGGAATCATAAAAAAATTCCAAAATACTGATCTGCTGACTTCCATTTCCTAGAAATTTAATCAAATTGATTAAGCATGTCAGAAAAAGTATGTGAAACCAATAATTACAATTTTATTTCAAAGTTATACCACTGAGAATTTTCTGGTCACTGAAAATGTATCTTCCTCTTCTCAGCGATTGTGGTGGTTTTAAAATTGCTAATATTGTCTTGTTGTCTATTTCTTCTTGATCTTCATCTTCAGATGTAAAAACTTCACAAACGATAAGATTTACACAAAATTTTTAAACACACGACATGTTTTGCTAATACAGTAGCTTCGTCAGGTGATATACTGGTACCATTCAAAACTTTATCTTCAGGCCAGATGAAAACCATATCATTATTCACAGATGAAACTTTCTTCATAAAATGCACAAGTGAAGTTGTTGTTGACTCATACAATTCAGATATTTGGCTAATATAATGAATTTCAGAGTTCTCTGGCCACTCAACCAAAATGAAGTCTTGCTCATGACAATCCTGTAATTCGATTGATCGTCTGATTTCTTCTGAAGAATGGCTGTTGTATAGGATAACGAAATTTCCCAAACCATTATGTTCACAGTCTTTATCGAAGCGACAATTATAACAACTGAGTCTTCGTATTGCCAAACGATTTGGTGATTTATTCATCCAACCGACATACCTGGTGGATTTTCATTGTTCTTTCGAAAGCCTTAAGATTTGAAGAAAGAGCATTATTGAATCTAGTAAAATCATCCTGATTTACAGTTGCGATTTGAATTCCAGGACAACAATCTCTCAAGTTGAAAACAAGTGAATCAAAGTTTGGTATATCATATCCGCAAGCTACTAGTCTATCTGCCGTTCTCTTTAAACAACCTCCTACACCATCAACGGCACCTTTCCCATGTCTGCTTTCTGAATAATTCCAAGAAAGTTCTTCCTCTCCTAGTATATTGACCAATTCCGTGCCGATTAATTGAAACATGGCTTTATTTCGGTACTGAGTACTAGGGCCATCGCTCACAAAATGAGCTCTTTTCAAATATGGCATTTTTTCTCTAATTGTTCGCAAGGTACCAAGTGGGCCATAATAGATGGCGGATCATCGCGAAGGTTCTCTGATAAACTGCAGAACGAATTGGCAACAGTTGTATCATTTCCTTTATAATACCAAACAATAGTATGCATCGATATTTGGGGTTTAGAACCGCCAAAATGTGCACTTTGTACTTCACGATAATATTTGCAGTGATAATTTTCGGAAAAATCGACGTGCACAAGACATTCCGTCTCACTATCTAAGTTTTCTTTTAATGATTTGATAGTTTTAAACTGATGTTCCATATTGGAAACATAAACCATATATTTAGGAAATTTATCTTGAAGATACTTCACTTGATCGCCTTTCGTGCATGTGATTTCATCTTTAACAATTTTTTTACAATTTTGTTCTGTTCCCTTTATGTTCACAATATAATCCTTCAATATCCACTTTTTATGAGTAGCAAACTCATTTTCTAAAAAAGTATTGAATTCTAACATTTTATTCTTGCAAATATTGCATTTTCTCTCCATACACTCTTCCTTTAGTTCACAGCATATAGTTTCAATCAATGCATCAGGACTATTTTGACTAATTAATTGTAACAATTCCATTTTACTCACGAGTGAACGCATATTCTCATGAATGATACAAAGACAAGTATCTCTCTTATGAGCACTTGGAATCAATACCCAGAATGGTCTGCGTTCGCAGAACATTGCGTAACTGATTTGTAATCGTCCTGAATATTCGCCCAAAAATTTTTTGTGCAAAGTTTTCATAGAGGCCGGCGTACCTCAGTGCTTCGATGCTTCAATATCGATTCACGTCGAGGTATCGATCGTGGGTTCGAGTCCCACGAACGCAGACTTTTTCTGATGGCCTAAGAAAGTGTTTGGGATCACACGTTAAAAGGTAAGGCCCCCGTCATTCCTTGCTCGCACAAGACTTTCGAAGACTTCTGAGGGTTGCTCGTAAGGGGGCAACCGAATGACGGATAGAACAATTTCAGAACAATTTTAGAACAATCTGCAAGATAGCGCTTTTGTTTTTCGAGTTTTCGTAATGTTATCGTATCCTTTTTTCCCAGACACATCCTACTATTTTCATCTCTTTCATAAAACGATGTTACTAGATTTCTCAAATTTGACATTGTAGACTTACGTGGAGTTTTTGACGAATTATTGTTCCTAAATAACCTTTTTGAACCAAAATATTGGATCGTTTGATTCCACAAGCGGTATTTTCGTAAGAGAGGCCCTGTCGTGAATCTTATGAATTGTCGTTTTTCTTTAGTGCTACTTCCTAAAGTTCTGAAATTATCGCTAAGTTGGGTTTTCAATGTCTCCCCAAGAATCAACTGTTGTTTTATATTTTTGTTAATGTCATGTCCCTTGATCAGCGCTTCAACTCTGGATTTAGGAGAATCATTCTTTTTCTCTGTCCTGTACTTTTTTTTCAGCCTATGATATTTCATTTTGTATCTCGTTGCCTTCTTCCTGGAATTAGCCAGTTCTTGTTCAACTTTTTTTAATTTTCTCACAGTTGCTGAACGCTTCCTCAACAGCCTTTTCCTTCCTGCTAAAGATCTATTTGATGGGCGTAAATTTGAGCCGTGTACACTGCTCGTAGGTGTTCCTGGTGGTGTGAATTCTGTCAAAAATCTGTTTTCTCTCTCCTTCAATTTCTGTCTAATTCTATAATTCTGCGCACTTTTTCTCCATCGCCTTCTCAACACTCTATTTTTTTCTTCTTTCGCTAGATTCATTAATCAATTTTATTTTTCCTTCTCTTTTTCTCTTGTGATATCTTTCTCGTTCTTTCTCCTTTGCTTGTTCATACAGTTCAGGATTATTTCGTATTCTATCTCGTCTCCTTTTTTCTGACTCCCTTTTCTGTCTTCTACGAGTCTCTAGTGATTTTGCATCAACTTTTGCCATCGCTTCGATCTGAAATAGCACAAAGAAAACCACAATATCAACTCCGTGGACAAGGCTCTACTCCGTGGGCATCCTCATCCATGGAGTTGATGTCCACGGAGTT